TTTTTTTTTTTTCTCCAGTCTCGGAATATTTCAAACAGCTTATGTGGTTTTTTTACGACATTTCTCAGTCACTTTTTTTCCACTAAACGTGAAAAAGTTGAAGTGAAATTGGATCAGAAAAAAAAAATCAAATCAACAACTGCATACACAGTCGTAACTGTTCGCATCAGCGCCGGCTTTTCGTAGTGTTTGATACAGATGTCCACCATCTCGTAATGCTGCAGCATAATGCAACGGAGTTCTTTTCTTCTAAAATAAAAAGAAAAAAAAGAAAAAACATAAAAAATTGAAAAAAAAATTAAAGAGGGAGAAAAAAAAAGCAATTAACAAATCTAATCCTATTATTTGAATAAGCAAAAAGCTGTTTTTCCATTTTTATCTGCTCTCCTTTTTTTATACCGAACCAAATAAACATTGAACTGTATTACCCGTACGGTGGTTTAGAAAAAGAGAAGAGGAGAAAGAAAAAATTATAATAAATGTACACTTATATAATCTTTGTCCTATATATATATATATATATATATATAATATATATATATATGGTATATATATATATATATATATATATATATATATATATGAAAGCCTATCAGAAGCTAAGTTTTAGTGGTTATACAGCAAGAAAAAAAATAAAACAGATTGCTGTTGACTCATCAAAATTACCATCACCAACACTTATCAATAACCAATCGGTTTTCTTTTGTATATTTGTAAAATTGTTTTTTTTTATAAATTTCCATGAAAAAAAAAAAGAAGAATAAACTAAAGATAACTGCAATAATCAAACAACAAAAAAAGAAATGAAGAAAAATTCATCCAAATAAAACCAATAATCCTGAATTTTTTTTTTTTTTTGGAATCAGCAAACAGAAAAAACGGCTCATTGAATTTGACAATTTGTTTTTTGTGCGAAAAAAAGACCATAGAAGACCGCTGAGCAATTTGAACATTCAGCTATATCCATCCATCCCGTAAAAGAGCAGTATCAGAAAACCCCCCCCCCCCCAAAAAAAAGGAACTAAAAACTGATTTTCTTTGGTATCAGCAAATAAGAGAATAAAAAAAACAACCAAAAAATTGTATTTTAAGATAAAAAATTTAGAAAACTTTTCTTTTATCTGTTTAATCAACAAATAAATAAACCAAAAACCAACAAAAACCAACAAATTTTAGTAGAAAAAAAGAAGAAAGAAGTAAAGAAAAAAAAAGGTGTCAACTTTTTAACATCTTTTTTTTCTGTTTTTTCTTTTGACTATAATTATTTTTTGTTGTTGATTACAATTTGGTTGGTTTTATTAGGTAGTTTTTGCTGCCCATATATCATCTTCTGGTTATCTGAACACCAAACAATATATACCCGTTTGCTTTCCATTAAAATAAACAAATAAAACATTAATTTTTGGAAACAGTTTGTTGTAAAATTTGTACAAAACAAATGTAACAGTTTTTTAGTCAGCCAAACACTAATCTACAGAATTCTAGAGAAGATTTTTTAGATCAAACAAGTTTAGGAGGAAACTGTCGCTAACCTGATCCAATGCATTTACTGTTTGCGGATAATTATGAATCAAAAATTTGGCACAATCGTTCCGTTTGAAAATCACTGCTTTATGTAACGGTGTTAAACCTTTTTCATCACGGCATAAAGCCATCTTTTTTCTGTCCACCAATAACTTTAACGCTTTGAGATTATTACTTTCAACAGCTTTATGAATTGCACGAATTTTTGCCTAAAAAAAAAGTGAGAAAGTTCTTTTTTTCTAAAAAAATATCAAAGAGTCGAAATCAATGGTAAATAAAAGTGGCAATTTTTAGAAACTTTTTTGTTTTCGCCGATAATTAGTAAAAAAAAAAAAAATAGAAATTGAATCTAAACTTATAGCTGAGAAGAAAGCTTAAAATTTTCATGTATTTTTGTAGATTTTTTGTTCTCTTTGTTATTTGGAACTCTTCCTTCTTCTTCTTCTTTTCTTTCTCCCCTAACTTTCATTGTTTCGGTAAATAGAAATAATAAAAAAACAAAAACAAGAGCAAGTTTCTTTATGGTAAAAACTTGGAAATAAAGAGAGACTGAACAGACGGAATTTAAGAGGTTACGATAAGGAGACAAAGTATAGAAAAGTAGAAATTGATAAAGAATTCAAGAAGTTTTTTTCTTGGCTGTTATTTGGTCGATAGAGCACTAATTAATACCCTACTGAAAAAAGCACTGAAAAGTTACTGAAAACAGATAATTGAGCAGTTATCAAATTAACTTTTTGACACCTTAGTGTTTCTTCTGCCGACAAAAACTAATGATTCTGAATAGACGACTAGCAAGTTTAATGACCTTTTTTTCTTCTTTTTTTTGCACAGCAATTAGCCGAGGTCAATAACTGCTGCACCAAAGAAACTTGAATAAATATAACAAGAAAAAAAAAATAAGAACTTTGAATTTAATTCAAAAAAGAAAAACTAAGCTATTTCTTTCTGTCATTAATAATTGTTGA